GAAAAAATTATGCTTCTATTGATGATATTTTTCCAGATTTCTATCATTTAAAAAATCGATCTGTTTAAAATTTAGATTATAGAGCAATTTTCAATAAAATGCATACAGATATTATCGAATAAAACAAATTTATAAGTGATAAAAATTCATATTATTTCGTATTTTTTTATCTATGACACAAAAAAAATGAATTCTCAATATCTCCGAATAGAAAGACTAAGTCTCATAGCTCTATCGAAACAATCAGTTACGCAATATTCACGGCAATAAGTACCTAGACAAATCAGTCGGAGCAATGCAAATACTTTACTTGATACACCATCTAATTTATCTTCTAGATTAAAATTTAATATTACATTCTGTCTATCATTATCTTTATTGAATACTCATTTATAAGTATTGCAAGAAACATGTTGAGTAATGTTCGTTCAATTTTCAAATCAAAAAACACCTAAATTGTTGACTATAGTTCAAACTTTTGCATCATAGAATAATCTTTGTATAATGTGATTTGATAGAAAAAACAAGGAAAAACATTGCTCATTCGTATTTTCTATGTAAAAAAATAACTATTTATAGGGAACAATAAACTAGAAAAGTTCCCCCGTCGCTTTGAGACGTCTAATGAGAGCATGAATAAGCTAAGCTTAAGAAATCCAATCGTTTTCTGTCGTTCTTGCCTGTGTCTATAGTGAAGTTGGAAACCAGATATATTATTCTATTTGATTTTTATATTGAAAAATCAAAACAATGTTTTTATTTGATTGTTATAAAAACTGTGCTTTCGTCTGATGAAAAAATCTCTATAAGTTTCTTTGTCCAGAAACATATATCGTATAGATAAGTGATTGCTTACTATTTAGACTTTACTACTAGAACAAGTACTGAAATAGCATTTAGTGGATTGAATTCATAAAAAGTACGAACTTCAATCGTCTATGAGTGAATACTCACCTTGTAATAATCAATTAGCACATACTTATAAAAACTTAAGCGAATTGATACCAAAGTACAGGTCATGCCCATGGCATAATATATTTGATGAAATGCACTGTGTAACGCGTTTTCAAGACTATAGCATACATTTCACAGTGTTTCAATTCAGAAAGAATATATTTCGCCGCTTTTGTTTTTTTCAAAATGATTCAAAATGCTATTTCTCAAGCGGAAACGTTTCTGAAGTGAAATGCTGTCGAATGCGCTTCATTCGACAAATAACGCGTTTCTGAGTGATGATTAGGAGAAAATATAAAATGCGTTTCTTTTTCAAATGCATCTTACATCATTTTCATCCGAAATAATGCAAAATATATATCTTCTGTAACAGCATCATGCTGTAATTCATCTATACGAAGTATATGAGTTAAGCAAAACTCATGTTTTGGCATCATATTGAAAACTATGTAAAATGATTTCGCAGAAGATTTTCTCGTCACATTGCTTTCGAATAAGAACATCAAGGCAAAGATCTTTTGTAGGCAAAATCAGAATTTAACTTTTCTAAAGCCTTACTGTGTTACAAACTTATCCAAAGTTGATTCGAAGTTAGGTTACTAGTGAACATCAGAATGTAATAAAAAGTATGTATGATCGGGCGGCTATGAAGCTCAGTAGGTCCCATATTCTTTCAAAGAAAATGCGTTTTGTAACGTTGAAAGAAGTTTTAAATATTGAATCAATTAGATATGGCGCTTTATCCTCACTTTACCAAGTAAAGTAGAATAGCTAACTTTACTTTCTTATAAAGTGAAGCAGATAGAGTAAAATGACACGTTATATTTACGAGTTAAAATAAAGTGGTACTTTACTTTTTCAAAGTAAAATAAATATAAAATGCCACCTCTAGAATAGATTGAAAGTATGCAGAGAACACTGATAGCAAAGTAATCTTTACGACAGATCTGTTGGATTATATATAAGAAAAGAGAAGATTTTAATAATAATACTATATACTTATACATGGACTGATCTGACATGTGGTTATAATACTGTGTAAAGGATGACTACGAAAGTATTTGATCTTATATTATCGATATAAACTAGATTGGGTGTTTTTAATAGGGATTCGAATCCCAGAAGAAAATCTTTTCTTTATTAATCGAAATAATTGGACATAGAGAGGGTTGAATGTACTGTCGTAGGATAATTATACAGACATAAATGTTTTCCGTCGATTTTCATACGAAAAGGAAAAGACAGTTCGGTTTAAGTTGAACATAATTATATTTTTAAAATAAACTGAAATACAATGGTGCTCAAGATTGATCATACATCAGAGAAATGATATTGTTTCGACTTGACATCCTTTCCATATAAGATGTCTTTTACGAGTACCAATAAAAACTCAATGAAGCATCTGTACAAGAGATATAGAAGAGATAGAAATACTCTATGCCTTCTACAGCTGCAATATTTTCTACGTTTGTAATGGAAATGTTGATAGAATAGAAAGAATCTCATTTATTTTGAAAGGTTAGTTACAGGAGAATATGTTTATTTTAAATGTTATTAAGTATGTTTATGCATTTTTGGTTCTTTAATTTGTGGACAATTTTTTATGTTTATTTGTTATTTGTACCATTTTCCAAATAAGATCATATTGAATTTCTTCTGATATAACTGAATCTTGTTTATATGATGAATGTGAAAGTACAAATTCTCGTATCCATGATGCATTTGTCAATAAAGTTCCTTGAAATAATATTAAATGAAATATTATAGATAAAGGCAAAAAAAAAAACTAACCATCAGCTCGTTTTGATATGAGTAAAAGATATTGTTCAATAGTATGTCGTGTATTCTCATCCATGTCTTCTCGTTCATGAACATATTTTCTAACAAGTGGAACAAGACCAGGAAAATCTTTGTTACCATTTATAATTTCATTCATAAATATTTGAGAAGTGTAAGTACCATATCGAAAGTAAAATTTTTCTCGGCGCACTGAATCTCGATAGTGTGCTATATCCATATTTTCATCAACCTGAGATATTGGTATTGTTAAATCAAGATCATAAGCTATTATAACTCTTGTTAACAATGCTACGAAAACAACGAGTGCTGCATTTTCAAAATCACTTATTTGAATCTACAATTTACCAATATTATTTATTTATATGAAATTAAAAAAAAAAAAAACCTCATTTACGTACATCCATTGGTCGAAATTCTACTCGCCATCCAGTTAATGTATCATTTAATGGTGGTGGTTTTAATCGTAAACTATTCCATACATGACTATTTATATTCTAAAATTAATTGATTTAAAACAAATTACAAAAAAAAAAAAAAATAATGAAAATAACTAACTTCAAAATGATACGAAGTCGTATCATCAACTGTATGAAGAGATTCTTCTAAAACAACAAGTGGATCATGAATAAATAAATGACCATAATGACGAGATAATGTTTCAGGCATGCCTTTTGTATTAAAAAAAAAATCTTTTATAATAAAATAGAAAAAAGAAATTTTCGTAAATAAACCTTGATCAATAAGGTTTGTAATAATATATTCATCAATTGAATAATCAATATCATTTAAATGTTTATTTTTATCAGCTAAATACAATGGAGCTAAAGCATAACGTGATGGAAAACCTGTTTGTTTTTTTTCTTCAGCTGTTCGAGCATCAATAGCTTCACATAATATATTCCATCGACAATCTATATCAGATAAATAACCACGCCATATTGGACATGCAGCACTTAAACATAACTGTGTAAAAAGAAAAACAATTTTTTTTTGAATTTGAAAGAAAGAAAAAGAAAAAAAAAGTAAAATATACCATTATAGGACATAATGGTAATAATTGATCATATAGATGAATAGCTTCTTTAATTGATTCACCTTGAAATGTAACTTGAAGACAACTACAACCTAAACCAGCTAGTGAACTATCCAAATGTATGTGATCATCTTTTATATCAGGATCATCTTTAAATAATTCATCACGAAATGGAGATGGTGTACGTGAATCTTTGAATACTGAAAAAAGATTAAATATCATTTAGCTAAAAAAATAATTAGGTTATGAACAAAAGAAAGTTGTTTAAATGATTACAAAAAGTCTTTGAATGTTTTTCTTGATGCGATTCAAAATGGTTCATTAGAAAAAAGAAATTAAAGATTTCATCTCAATTCGAATAAGGAATAGTTGTCATAGAGTCAAAATTTTCAAATAATTTCACCGAAAAGTTAGCAAATAAATGCGTCAAATTTTTTTCTCTAGTAGTACAACATAGAGTTCAAGTCTAGTCTTTTATTACTTGTTGCGTATAAGTAAATGAATACTTTTTTGAGTTTAACTGAAGCCTATGCTATTCTAATCGTTTGCTTTTATTCTTCGACAGTGAAACAGTAAAATCATTAAATTTAATTGTTTTGCATAGATTTCATCTTATTGCAAGATCAATAAATCTTTATCGTAGATCTGTCGACATATACTTTAGTGATAAGATCCATTGGTAATGTTTCTCGAAACTAAACTAGCTCAAAAATGCTCATATTTTATCATAATTTAGTAAAGATACCAAAGTTGGATTATATCTATGACGAACTTTTTAACATATGAATGTTATTATGAATGACCAAAATCTTTTTTGTACTCGAGTTTTTTTAAGTATTTGAAACGGTTTTGAAATTTGATATTAATTTAATTCAAAATAGAACTGATTACTCTAAAAAGAGATTGACTTTATCTTTCGAAACAATTTTTTTCTTTAGCACAATAACCGATAGTTGATGGTTTCTTAATAATCCAAGCACAATGTTATTTTTTCTCTGTAGACTTTTCTTACTGTGTGCAGGTTTATATTGATAAAGTCTACTAGTACACATCAAATATGTGACATCAATAAAGAAGATTCTTTATTGTATATCTCTTCGAAAAATTTAATATTTTTATTACTAAGGCTTTGTCGAAATAGCTTAAGTATATATCAGTTAAGATATGCATGTATTTAAAAAAAGCAGTATGTATCATAGATCATACCATATAAAAGCACAAAATGCATGTAAAATTGACTATGCTATCAATTAGATGATATTCTAATTGTAATATCTCTTTAAATGCATTAAATGGAATAATACTCGAGTAGTATTTATATAAGTGTTTGATTTGATGTAATTCTTTTTCAATTAGAATCAAAATGTTTTATCTTTGAGATAAATATTTGTGCATGTCTAATCATCAAAATAACGACTGATTCAAGATAGACAAATGAATAAGATATAAATAGGAGGTTCATCAATAATTTACTAAAGATTTATTTCGAATTTTGTTATTCTCTAACAAAAGATGTCTTTATAGTTTTTATTTGTATTGAGTTTAGCTAATAAATTAACTTACTTGGGATGTTAACCGATACTTTAGATTGACGTCGTTCACTTATATTTGTTGATAAAGATCTTTCAATAAAATAAATTATCAAAAAAAGAAATAAGAATCTATTTGATTTTACTTTGATCTTGGATGATGAGGTGATAAAAGTGAATCAGGATAACATAAAGATTTTTCAACGGAATAAGGAAGACCATATTCAATTGGTGGATATGTGTATTGTCCTTGTCCATATCTTGTACAATGTGTGATTAAAAGAAATAAAAAATATATGTTCATTTATTTTGAACCGATTTAAATAAGACTTTTTATGGTTTTTATGAATGTGAATTTAAAATTTTTGTAAAACTTCTAGTTTAAGATTTATAAGCTAATCTTTTTAGAGACTAACTAATTAATTTTGAATGAATTTTAGCTCGCCAAACATTTTTCAAAGAAGAAGCAGAAATTATTTTAAATACAGCGAATGAAAGAGCAAATATTTCTTAATAAAATAGTATATTAATGATTTGTTTATTTTAAGTCATTTTGTTTTCGATAAATGACAATATGTCAATTCAGACAATATTTTCGAGTTTTATGAGAAATAAAGTTGCAATATGAGTTCAGCTACTTCCGAATGATTGTCGTCAACTAATCGAATTTTGTTTTTAATCACTCATTATAAGAAAATGAATAGATCAGTAAAAAAAACAAGAACAAGAATATTTAATTATTACCGTGGAAAAACAGCAATGCTTAAAATATAGTCACAATCGGTTTGTTCACATAAAATTCGTTGCGCTTGTTCTCTTCTTTGCCTCATATTTGCTTCGACTGTATTAAAATAAGATGATGAAGAACCATAGGGTTGAAATGGGATACCTTCCATAACGAAATCGCATCCTTCAGGATGCCAAGTTATACGATATTCTCTTTGAATATTTCAATATATTATTATGATACATATATATATATGTAAAATACATACTTATCATCAGTTTTTTTGTTTAATTCATTTAAAATTGGTAATAATTGATGACTTTTTAATAATAATCGAACAGTTTTATTTTTATGATCAAATCTAACTAATGTTAATTCAGTCTTAATAAAATTAAAAAATATAAACAAATGAAGTAGTTAAATCATTGAATTATATAATACCTCATCGCCCCACAGAAATGGATCTTTCTGTCGATCTTTATATTTATTAAAGATGTGTACAAGTTGATCAAGACCATAAGTTCGTATTTGTTGAAGAGCAAGTTTTATTTCAGCCCATGATAAAGGATTTCCTTCGGATAATAGACCCATTTGTTTACATATGAGATTAAAAGACTATGTCTGTAACGTCCTCAGTAGAGTATAATTTATACATAATGTTTTTCCTCTTCTTACTATTTCTTCTCTCAACGTATGAATTATACATATCTTTCTGTTTGTACTTTGTACATCATGTGATACTTTGTTACCATTGTATTTTGTCTATATTTATAGTCTTTCCTTTTATATTTATCTTTTCTCTAGACAGATCCGTATATAAGCATATGCTTTATATAGAAACGATGCAATTCTTGATAAGAAGAAATATAATTAATTATTATTTCATCAGCGCTACCCATATACTCGACTGCGGTCAAATTGCGATCGCACTGCGACCCGTAATTGCGACGCAGTTACGCGCAATTGCGATTTTTTCATCGCAATCACGCGTAACTGTGTCGTAGTTTTTTGCTTTATTAATATTTTTATTCGCAATTACAAAAAATTTTAAAAATACAAAAAATAAAAAAATTAGAAAAATAAAAAACTATTGCTAACAAAAAATTTTGAAAAAGTTAAAAAAATAGAAAAATTTTAAAAACTAAAAAGTAAAAAAATAAAAAAATAAATATCTAGAAAATAAAAAATATATAAAAGGACGCATCTAAAGCATACGAGCTCATTTCTTTCTTTTTCTATTACCAAGACACTTCATTTAGTTTCTCAAATTATCAAGGTAAGCATTATGGATACTTTAATAAAGTAGTTAAAGTAGAAGTATTTTAACGAAAGAAGAGCTCTTTTAAGAAAAGAACGATTTTTTATAAAGTTTAATCAAAGATTTTAGGGGTCGAGGAATCCGAATCTGGAATCGGTTTTCCGGAAATTTTAAGTTCGATTTTACCACAAAAATTTTTTCGTAAAAAATATTTGTTTTAACAGAAAAATTGTTTTTGTGAAAAAGTGATTTTTTTAGCAAAAAAATTTACAGAACAAAGTGATTTACAAAAAATTTTTTATTAAAAACAAATAATTTTTCTCATCAAATAATTCTTTGTCAGATAATCAGTTTTTTTGTAAAAAAATTTTTTTCGTAAAAAAGTATATCTTAACAAAAAAATTTTTACAAAAAAACTGATTATTTGACAAAAAAATTGTTTGATTAAAAAAATTATTTTTTTTACAAAAAAAATTTTGTTGTAAAATCGAACTTGAAATTTCGGAAAACCGATTTCAGATTCGGATTCTTCGGCCCCTAAAATCTTTGATCAAACCATCGAATTGGAAAATTATGATATTTATTTATGATTGTCTATTTTTTCAGCAACTGTAAGAAGAGTGAATACTTTAGCAGGTATACTGCGCTCACTGCGTCGTAGATGCGAACGCAAATGCGTCGCAATTGTTAAAAAAAGGTGGAATGGGTAACTCGTTTTCAATCTAAAAATATCGCAATTATCAAATATCCTAACGCGTTACTGGTATGAGAGAGTTCTCTTTTTTTTTATCCATTCCTTTCTTCTTATGTCGGATATTCTTTATTATTGTTTACATGATAATAAATGTTGACAATGAAAATAAAACAAAAGCAACAACCGAATTATAACAAGGATAATTTATTCTTCATCCGAAGAATATGGAGTAGAATATACGTAGTCTATAATCAAACAAGGAACTAGTTCATCGATTCATTATCAAATCATAAGCGTAATTGTGGTTGGACTAATCAGTCTCTATCCATCATTTCTTGGTATAGACATTTGTATTTTTTGAAAAAAATTGTAAATATATTTTGATAGAGAAAACTTTTTTGCGGCAACTAATCAAGATCAAAATTTCAGCCTATTGAATTTTTTTAAAAACCCATTTTTAATAGTGTATTTGATATTGATATATGTAAAGACACATTTTTTCCGTTCGGTTTGCTTTTTGTCTTTGTTATAAATGAATTATTTTATTAATTTCTCATTAAAAACTTTTTCAACAAGCGAAGAAATGTTATTCAGGGCATGCGTTTCTTCAACATTAATCAAAGCATCTTGAGAAATTATGTTTCAAAAATTTATTGTTATGAATAATAATTATTCGTTCTATTTTAATTCATTCGAACAATTCAATTTTTTTAAAATATATTGTATTATGTTTCAATAAAAAGACGAATTAGTACTATTTATATAATCTTTTATCAATACTCAATTGTGTGTAACATTAGAACAATACTCTATAAAAATATTCTCATCTTAAGGGTCGGGTGTGGGCGTGTGTGTGTCGGAGTGGGTGTAGGTGTGAGGTGTGGATGTGGATCTGAGTATGAGTGAGTGTGGATACATAAGGGCTCCATACAAAGCCCACCCACCCTCACACCAATATCTACACCCTTAATATGTTCAATCTTTACTATAGTTCTTTTGATACTAAAAAAATCGCATAAATTATATTTTCGAATAACTTTTGTTTCATTTTTATTTTTTTCTTCTCGTTTTATTGTCTTTTCAGTATAATACTTCTTCTTTCTCTTTTCTCTTTTTGTCACAGTGTCAATGCGTCATAGGAGGTGTGATAAAAGACTTGAAACTGTTTTTCTGATGACTTCGATAATTAGTAATCCTTATTGGATCAGTAAAACTGATATGTCAAAAACAAAAAGTTTTAAATTAATAATTATTCGATCGTAAGAACAAAGAAAAGTTTTATAAAATGTACGTCTTACTATGATACATGAATCCGAATATTAGTTTAGAATGTCCAATTTTATTTAATTCAAGATAAACATCTGTCATTTGCTTACATTTTCAGTTTTTAATAAAACATATTGAAAAGATAAAACGTTGCTTTGCTAAAAATATAACATTCTTTTCGTTAGAAGTATCATATTCCATTTACTTGAAAAAGTGGTTTACCTAACTTTTTAGCAATAATCCGATAGGGATAAATATTACCAGTAATAGCAAGTACCTATGGTCGGTAAGTGATAACTGGTATGAATTTACACCCTTTGATAATTGGTAAAACATTAGGCAAACCATTTAGTTTTCCAAATAAATAAAATGTGACACCTCTACTCTTTGTTCATGAATGAATTTGTTTTGCTTTCGCCTTGAATTTACTAACTACGCTCGTCTCTCCGTCATAACGTCCTTGTTTGGCACAGTTTGTTGTCGTGCACGTGAAACCCAATCGACAACATCCTCCGTTCATCTCCAAGCTACAACACTGTGCAGCATCAGAAGGGCAGCACTGATCCGGATTGATCTCATTGCAACAGATGTAATTGTCAGGACACATTCCTCCATTACCACAGGTCGATCTGATACATGATACAGTCGAACTACATCGTCTTTCTTTTACATCGCGACACCATTTGGATGATGCCAATTCATCAGCTGCTCTTGCCCAATTGCGCTGCTCAAGAGCTGCCCGCATTCTAACAAATTGATTCAATACCCGACATCCGGCAAAGGCGACATCTGTTAGAGCCGCATAGATATGGTTGGGCATATCCGAAACAAATCGCGAGGCGCATGTACTTGCCTCGGAATAGGTATCGTCAAATAGGGCTTTTGCTTGCTCTTCGGTCAAACAAGCGTTACGTGTTGAATGCTTGCAATCGTTAAGCACATCAGCCAAAGACAAATTGAAATCTTTCAAGCGAGATTTAGCATCGGAACGTTGCAGATTGAATCCAACCCCAATGGTTGGTATGCCTTTAGTATCATAGTAGCAACAGAGACGAGTACCCTCGTTGATTTGCGTTTGCTGAGGACCGCATTCGCCTGAGATTCTTACAAAATAAAATGCTAGTAATAAGAAGCTTTTCATTTTCGCTGATAGTTAGGTTTGCACTAGTTACTTCTCCTTTTCGTTCGACACCTTATATAGCACCATAAATTACGTCGTCGCTTTTGGCTTGGGATTATATTTGTTATTAAGTCAAACAATATCAGTTATCCTTATGACGTTTTTTCTATGGGTATGACGCACTATTAAAATAGCTCATTGAATAGAAACAAAGCCCCGTTTTATTACTGAATATCAAAATATTTGACTTCGTCTTACAGCAGCCGAAATCTTGTTAAGCCTTCTTCTACAGATAATATTTGTTAACGATTAACCGATATTAAGAGCTCCTCTCCTCAAAAAGGTTAGTTTTCGTCAGAATGGCCAAGATTGAGATAAATACATGGGGAGATAGCCTGTCATTTGCTCTTTTATAAACGATAAAAACTTTTCTTCGATATCTCCTTTTTCCCGAAAAATTTTCAATATTTTTGACGACCCCTATTCAAAAAATCCAAAAATCTTTTTCGTTTTTCTCAATATGGTGGTCGAATGACGCATCTCCAGCGAAAGTCTACTATAATCCGATATAAAGTCAAAGATTTTTTTTTGTTTGAAAGCTCGTGTTTGGGGCTAGCCTACCTCGTGGCCCTTTTTTTAAAATAAGCCCTTTTATTATTATATAAGAAGCCATCTCTATAGAAAAAGCACTATTTTTTTAGGGTTTTTTTGAGTCATTGAACTTGTCATCCTTTTCCTTCACTTAAAAAGTATGAATTTAAAAAAAAGGATTAGGCTAGCCCTAGAGACAAGCTTTCAAACCAAAAAGAATTATATATATATATATATATATATATATAATGAGGGTCCACAGAGAATTCTTGGAGATGAGATGAGCTATTTTTTGACCCTTGTTTGGTTCATATCTCTGTCAAACGTCACGGTATCGAGCTGAAAATTTTACCAGAGCCTCCTCACTTCAGCCCCAACATATGCTCCAAATTTCAGCCCATTTGAACGTACCTGGGCTGAGATCGATTTTTGAGGGGAAGGGGGGACACCCTTAAAAATTTGTGTGACGACGTTTTTTCTTTCTGCCGGTATTGAGTATTTCTTACTTCATTTGATGGCAGATGTCAAACACCTCATTTTCTAAAGACGAAGTATCAAATTGTTCAGCTTTTTTCCTCTATCGAAATGAGAGGTTGTTACCAGTTTATTAAGAGAAGGTCCATGAGAAAACCGACCAATTTCTACATATACCGGAGCACGAA